TGTACTTATTATCGTGGAAAATGAAAATCACCATAGAATATTTTATGTAATAATGTTGAAATTTGTCCTATAAATTTATTCTAGTCATAGAGTATCTCTTTATTATTGTATATTTTTATTGGTAGATAAATGATGCTTATAGGTGGTTTAGGCCAGGTGTGAGATCTATCTCGTGTTGCATTTGTTTACACGTGTGTTGCAGTTATGAATAAATTGGGTTATTGTATTTGGTAAAAATCAATCAACTCAACATAGTTTAATCTTTAAGTTTAGTATGCATCCAATTGAAGTTCAATAACCCATTTTCAAGTATAGTGAAAGTCATTAACCTTCCACCAATTAATCTTGACTTTAAATGCGTTGATGTGGAAAATAGATGAACACATGGACATGTGGTTAGTTTTGATAGACATGTCAATTAATTCTGGTAGTCTCATTGACGAATCTCAAACGAAGTGGTATGCTTGAAAATCAAAGTTTAGTGGCCTAATTGCATAAAATCGAAGTTTAGAGACTTACTAGTAAGTATTGTAACAGTTCACTTACCTCCTTTGCAATTAACCACTGTTATAGCATTTTGGCAAGTGAAACAAATTAGTGCTTATTTGTATCTCATTTTGAGAGAAAAAATAGAGTTTTGAATAGTATTTTTTGGAAAATGTGTGGTTGAAAAGTAAATTAAATTTATTGGTTTGTGTGTAGAATATTTTATTGAGTGAATATGTGATAGAGATTATTTACTGCAGCAAACAATGTTTGAGACATATTCGGTAGAGATTAAAATTGAAATATAATCGTTATTGGGTCACACTCGTTTAATAAAAATCAATGATAACGGCTAATTTTTCAATTTTAATCTCTACCAAATACACTCTTGATAAAATAGATGACAAACATGAGCTAAATTCCTTTCCGAGTCCGACTATTAGGATGTACCCTTTTTTGTCATTTCAATTTGGTTCCACTTGTGAATCTTTTAATTGATCTTCTCAATGAAAAATGTTCACCGGTTTCTTTTGAAAAAAGTTGATCTTATTTTTAAAAAAATAAATAATGATAATAATAAAAAGAAAGACAACATTTCTTGCATTGTTTTCTTGTCATTGGATCCTCAAGTTTTTCAAATGTTTCAAACTCTACTTGAGCATTCAAATTTGAGTCAATATTGGCAAAATATCCCAGATGAAAGTTCTAAAATCACGTCAAATATGCCCAAAGAAGGAAAACAAAGCAAACAGAGCATACCCAAAAGTAAACCAACCCCTTGGACTATTACGAAAAATATAATTGATCAAAGTAGCACAATCTAATTCAAAAATTTCACCAAATTGAGGGCATCAAGCATATTTTTTCATGGTAGCAGGATCACTTGCTACCCCTTTCCCTACTTTGAGCATCTCGAGCACAACTTATTTTATGTCTGTTCTCACATAATAGTCTATCAAATTCCTCTCGAGTGGGAGAAAACCGAAAGAAGAAGGAACTATAGGAGGATTGAGAGTTGAGACAATTTATATAGAGGAGACTACTTGACAAAAGGGAACGAATTTTGTTTCATTTTTGTGTTTATAAATTGGATCATTCTGCCAATGAAATGAAGGCGGTGCTCGTTTTGAATGCTTATTCAATTCGGAAGTTCTCGCGAAGAAATTATGATGATGCTTTCCTTCCCTTTGTCTTTTCTCGATTTGATCATTTAAAAAGAAAAGAGAATACTTTACACGTAATTTGCTTTTGAATATTAAGCAGGCTTGGCATCTCAAAAATGTGCCTAGAGCTTATTGTCATCTTACCCTAAAATTTTTCGATGATAATACGTGTGCATCACAATTTATAGATTTGTTTACCAACAGATGACTTTGAGATATTTGATTAAGTTAAGATGTCACTAATCTAATTAAAAAAATTCCTAATTCTTTTTATCATTAACTCACGTTACATATGCCAACTGTTCAAGTGATGAAGAGATTCGACAATTTTAATACAATTTATCGCTACCTCATTCATTTATAAAAGTATATGGGGCATTTTCAAAATTATATTTTTGGGTAATTAACACATAACGTCCTCACATTTCATTATTATTGTGGAAAATGTTTATATCTTTCATTTTTTTGGCATTTTCACCCTATTTTTACCTTTCATTGCGCAAAAGGTCATTTTCATCCATTTTCTCAATTAAAAAGTGTGAAATGACGAAAATACACTTTTCTTTAAATAAACACAAAAGAAAAAAAAGAAAAAATTAATTGCAAATATAGTTCCAACTTTTTTGAAAAGCTCAAATGAGTCCCAAGTAAATCATTAAAACTCAAAAGGGTAATTAGTATATAAAGTTCATACCTTTCACTATAATTATAAAAAACATCCCTGTTTGAGTCACGTTATATTTTTCATTTTCATTTTTATACTCATTTTCTACTACACATTCTTAAATAAAATAATATTTTTCATTACATCAATAACTTTTTTTTTTTCAACTACATATTCCCCCTCACATTAACCAAAAAAATACATTCTCTTCACAAAAAATGCCTACCAAATGGAGGCTTAATTATATTTTGATAGCGTAAACTATCACTTCTATCCATTTTCCGTGAAATAATGAATATACCCTCATATTTAAATAAAAAATATATTTTTTTAATTTCTAATTCTTTTACAATTTATTTGGAAATCGTTTGCAATTTTTAATTTTTTTAATTTTTAAATGAATTTAATTGGGACTCGTTTGCACTTTTTTAAAAAATGGGTACAATTGTTGCAATTAATTCTTTATCTTTTTTATTTAAATATGGGGGTATATTCGTTATCCTAGGGGTGAACGTGGTTCGATTTTGACGGTTGGTGTCATATTTTCAACTCAAATCATTTCATGCGATTTGAAATTTTTTCAAACCAAACCAAATCATTTTATTTTTCAGACTAAACCAAACCAAATCATAATTTGCGGGTTGGTTCTGTTTTAATTTGCGGTTTGCCTATCGACATTACAAAAATGTATTTAAAGTAAGTTAACATATAAGTTTAAATGAGAACTAATAATATTAAATATTAAATTACATTCATCTTTCCCACGAAACTCATGAATAAATTATTTTCAAAATTGGCTGCTAAAAAATGTTAATAGAACGAATATATTTTTCTTCCTTTTTATTTACATTTTTTTGTTTAACTTTCATATTGTCATATAGTGGTTCGTAAAGATAGAATCGCATTTTGCTATATTAGTTTGGTTAAAACTCTTTTCGTCCTACTAGTGAGATGAAAAACAATGACCGAACAAGATATGTTTAAATGTACAAAGAATGATAGAGTTTAGATTTATTGGAAATTAACAAATTTTATTATTTAACGACTTTACGAAAGTAGAATGTAGTAGCACTAGTTAAGGAATTTTAACATGTTCACACAATCAATACGCTATATCAGTCGTTCTTTCTAAACGACAAACGGTTCATTAATCACATAGGCACAAAAATAGTCATTTTTTAAAATCCAAATCACAACTCACTAGTGTATAATAAGTTAAAAAACAACAAATCAAAGAAAGAATAATGAAAAAATGAATTGAATGGGAATCTAAGATTTATCAAGAGAGAAGAGAAAAATGGTGATTCGGGTAGAAATTAGTAGACTAACAAGCAAAAGGCAACTAACGATTTGTGATTGGGAATCATATTTTGTTCAACAGTGGCAGACGACGTCAAATGTTTGAGAAATGAGAATTTAGGTAGCTTCTAAAGTTGTGGCATGATTTGATGTCATAGTTTTGTTGTATTATGATTTGGATTGTTGAAAATAAATGTTTTTTTTCATATGATTTGTGATTAATTTTAGTTTAAATTAGATATCGGGTCACGACATGTGTTGTGGACTTATAGAATTATTGGCCAATAATGATGAACTTAATTTACTTTATAGGATTATTTTAATGGGTTGGTTGTAATTTGTATTCCTAAATTGGTATTTTTTTTTTCTAAAAAGTGAAAACTTTAAAATTTGTAAATAAATAAAATTAATTTTTAAATTAAAAAATTAAAAAAAGGTTTGGTTCAGTTTTATGTGATTTTTGAAAATTGAAACATAAATCAAACCATTTTGAAACGGTTTGGTTTGGTTTGAAGGAAAAAAACTACGGGTTTACGTAGACCCGAACTAACGGTTTCAAATTAACGGTTTCGGTTCGGTTTGCGGTTTCGCGATTTTTTTGTGCAGCCCTACGTTATCCCACTATTTTTTATTGAGAAATTGGATGAAAATAGATAGAAATGATGGTTTGCGCTATCAAATTATAATTAATGAAGAAAATGTCGAAAAATAAATAAAAGTTATGGATGTTTTTCACTATATTAGTGAAATGTAGGGATATTATGTGCTAATTACCCTTTTAGTAATTTATTTGGGACTCATTTGCTCTTTTCAAAAAAGTTGGGACTATATTTGTAATTAGTTTTTTCTTTTTACTTTACTTTTGTTTTATTAAATGGAATGATATTTTCGTCATTTTACAATTTTTAATTGAGAAAATGGATAAAAAAGAATTTTTACGCAATGAAAGGTAAAAATGTCAAAAAATGAAAGATATGAATGTTTCACAATAACAATGAAAGGTGAGAACGTTACGTGCTAATTACAATTATATTTCTCTTTCCTGCTACCCCCGACAACATGCATTGTATTACAGTACACTATGCAGCACAAGTTGCACTCAACTTTTGTCGCGATTAAGACGGTAGGTAAGATCACTGTCGTAATTTCTTTCAAATTCATGCCCATATATGTGACCCAAAATCGTACACAGAAAATTGGTTGGTGCCCTTTTCCCCACCGCCTCTACCTCGTTTCTACATTTCTACGAAGTTTCCTTTTTCTCGAGCCTTTATATACTCATATGCATACATAAACGTATGTGTGAGTACCTGAAGGGGTGAGATTTTGGAGAATTCGGAGTGAGAATTTGAGAGTTTTGGGGATTAAAAGTGTGAATTTCTTGAGAAATGGACTCTGATTTATGGGCTCGCCTTTCTAATTCTTTTTCTTACAGGCGTTATCAATCTCGATCAGGCTTGTCTAATTGCCCGACTTTCCTTTTTTTCTGTTTTTTTTTTCTCTTCATTTGTGCGAAAAATGATGAGAAAATGGGTTATTTTTTCTTTAATTCGATTTTAATGGGAAACTTAGGGAATTTTTTAATTTTGATGTTGAAATTAAGGAAGGCCTAAAAAATTAACGAATACTTCAAAGGGGAAGTTTTGATTTTTCTAAAGATTTTTGCTGCTTGTGGGTTTAGTGAGATGAAGAAAATTTAAATTGTTAATGTTTTGTTTTAAAACTGGATTCTTCTTATGAAATTCCGAGAGTTTTCTGTTCAATGTAATGGGTAAATTAGGTTATTATAAAAGAAGTTGAAATAAGGAGAAAAAGTTGGAAAAATGTACTTTACCTCAAAAAAATTGAATTTGAGCGTAGTTTTACAGAAAAGTAGAACTGTGAGTTATAGTTTCTTTGTTATAGAAATCAGGCTTTGAATTAAAGGATTAAGAGCCAAATTTTGCAAGTTTTTATTTTTCTTCTGTTTGGTGTTGGTGCTAACACGAATGTAAGATTAGATCTTCTAGTTTTTTGAAGAATCATAAAGAATGTCTCAAATTTCAATACTTGTTACAGAAATGGAGTGCAGTTTTCATGATAGCGTGATGTGTAGATTAGAGCTTTTCTTGATTGTGCATTTTTCATGTAATACAGACTCACATCGCGGAGATGAGTACCAAGGCGAAGAAGAGCTGAGGCCCGAGTTTCTTTGTCCATTTTGCGCTGATGAATTTGATATTGTTGGTCTCTGTTGTCATATTGATGACGAGCATGCCATCGAAGCCAAAAATGGGGTACCTTTCTCCATTTCCCTTTATCATTCTGTTTGTGTGAGTCTGTATGAGTGATCTTATTGGTAATCATCACGAGTTAATTACAGGAGCTGATGATGTTTTTTATTTTATTGTTGCATAAAAGATCTAAAAGTAAAAGAGAGGAGCTTTGATGTATAATGATATTCAGTCGTATGTCTAGAATTCTATATTTAATTAAGCAGAATCTCTATTTAATTCTAGGAGGACTTCACACATTCACTCCTCCACCTGCCTGGCATTATATTTGATTAGTAGGTGCATTATTCTTACTGAAACTAACTAATAACAATATCCTCATTCAGGAATCTCGTCTGTTGTTCCTTCTATTATGATAAGCCATTGACCATGTGAAGTCACCCACATTAATTCTGCTATCACGTGTCGCTATAATTCTTTTTGTTGTTAGCTATAGACCCTATTTCTACTTCATTCTCTAGGCATCGATGTAATTCTTTTGGTTGTTAGCTATATACCCTATTTCTACTTCATTCTTGAGGCATCGATGTACAACCTGCTCTTGGACATTTGAATGCAACTGCTAGCTTTGCTGGCTGTAGTGTTTTTCTGGAAAAAAGAGGAGTGAAATTTGAAATCCATATATAAAGTATGCAACACTTGGGTCCCCTCTTCCCTCCACCTTGATGCATAGATAGATCTTTTCTCTTTTCACTCATTTTCCTCCCCACCCTTGCCCCCAGGGGTTCTTCAACCCTTGATGGTACGAGGACCCTTGATTAGATAAAGCTGCCTGCCCTATGATGCACAACTCAATATGAGGCTTGCAACTAGTGTGACAGCAGAATGTAACAAAGTAATATGGCCCATAAAACATGGGGGCTGGAGGTACGGGAAACACAGCCAGAACGCGAGACATCTTTCCAGCAAGTTGTGAACACATCTTTGGTACTTATAGATGACATAAAGTCAAATGATATGCGTTACTGTTGAATTTGTATATTCTGCTGAGCATTTTTCTATAACTGATTGTTGCTATGGAAGGTGGCTCCTTATGGTCAAACATATTGAACCCATGTTTGGCCTCTGTTAAAATGTATTTTTGGGGAAAATATATTTTGAAATAGTAATTTTTTTAAGGAATGTGTGGTTAAAAAAGAAGGAAAAGTTTTGGATTTACATGTAATATTATTTTATTGGAGAATGTGTGGTGAAAAATATGAGAGAAAAAAATGCAATTTGGATAAAATGGAGCCCAAACAGGGGCTGAATTTACGAGCACACCTGTTGCTAGTATACTTCTGAATTGTATTGATGGAACGTCTTTGTGCAGGTCTGCCCTGTTTGTGCAAAAAGGGTGGGGACAGATTTGGTTGGCCACATAACTGGGCAGCATGGGAGTCTTCTAAAAATATCCTTTTGAAGAAACTATTGTTATTGATCTTTGTTTTTGCTGAAATCTATCATTTTGTTACTTCAATTTTTCAGTTTCGTGTTATGTTCTTCTTGTATTCGTAGATCTTTAGTTTCCCTTGACTGGAAAATACGTGCAGCGAAGGAGGAGAATCCGAAGGGGTGGATCTAATTCTGCACACTCTATATTAAGAAAAGAGTTACAAGAAGGAAATCTGCAAACCCTCTTTGGGGGATCTTCGTATTTGTCCTCAAATGTGGAACCCGATTCACTGTTATCATCCTTCATATACAGTCCACCTGTGGTTGATGAACCTCCCGAAGTTCAACCTCTTTCTGCAACTGGGGCTTTCTCAATACCAAAATCGACTGGTGAAGATTTGGGGGAAAGGTAAGATCGCTATGATTTAAATGTGTACTTTAGTTTTATGTAATTAAGCATTGTTTTTACTATTTTTGAGCAATTGATAATCATATGAGAATCATTAGGACGCAACTGGACGGGGTGAAACGAGATCTGCAAAATAAGCTCGAACACTCCAACCACACCAACAAAGAAAATAAGAATTAATGAATAAATAAATAAATGAAATTGACCTGAATGCAAAGATATGATTTGCCCGACTATGATTTTAAACCCATCATTGTTGGATGCTGGGCGATGGTTCTTTGTCTGCTATTTATGTATTTTCTGATAAGGAATGTTTTTCTGAAACAAATCTTTCATGGGGAGGTTTCTCACTGCAATTATTAGGATATACAGCCACACGTATGCAGTTTCTAATATGATTCTGGCAATCCATTCTGTATCATTTCTAATTGATTGGGATTCTTAATCGCTTCTTGGTTTATTATTTACTGTTGGACCTTTGGGATGATAATTTTATTATAAGCTGTTGGGAACTTGTTTTGATATTTGAAGCATTCTTATGGTGTTAACTGACATTTGTTCGTTATTTCAGCAACAGAAATGTTCTACATTTAGCACTTTCTGACAAGGACCAAGAGGAGAAGGCTCGAAAATGTGAATTTGTGCAAGGACTCCTGCTTTCTACTTTTCTTGACGAAACCTTATAAGCTGAAAAGTGCATCCTATTAATGCTAGTTTGCATTCTAGTTAGCACTGTCTGACAAGGACCAAGAGGAGAAGGCTCGAAAATGTGAATTTGTGTAAGGACTCCTGCTTTCTACTTTTCTCGACGACAACTTATAAGCTGAAAAGTGCATCGTATTAGTGGTAGTTTACATTCTAGTTATGGAAGCCTACTGCGGAAGAAATAGCGAGAGGATATAGCTGAGCTTTTCGTGTTGTATTTCTGGCCAAAGAGACTCTTGAAGTTCCTATTGTATGTAAAACTTGTTATGCTCATAATGATATATTTTATAAACGTACTTATTAACTGCATATTCATTTCATGATTCGAGAATGCTTGTTCTTGCACACTCCCTTCCTGATTTGACAACTTTTATGAATTTCCGTGTGTGTCAACCACAAGTTACACGAATTAGGCGTGAATTTAGTTCACAGTATCGAACTTGGTACTCTTTGGGATGGAGCTATACACAACTAAACTAGCCTTTCTTTAAAGCAATTGACAGTTCTATATAAACGCTGAACTTCTTGAACTTCTAGTTGCAAAAGTTAACACATTACACTGAACTTATAAATGCTAGAGGAGTATACACACAATCTATTATTCGTAGTCATCATAACAAACCACAAGTATGACTCAAACTGTCAGGCCTTAAGAGCAAAATAGGCTGAATATCAACTACCACGGATTATTCTAGTCCCACAACCCCATCCTCAACCACAATAGTAAATGCTAGTTACCCAGTTGCTATAATTCATTATTAACCCCTCTCAATCCTATGCTTTGAACTCGCATATTCTTCTAAGGCAACTGGCAGCCCTGAATTCGTAAGTTTTAATCTCCACCTCCAGAATGAGTCGTGGGACACGAAAAAAATGTTGTCAGGGTGATTAACTTTCAACAGCCTAAGCCATTTGTCAGCACCTCGCAACAGAGAGTCAAACTTCAGGCATTCATCGACTCCATCGGTATTCCAATCAGAAATTTTGAACTTAAAAGAAGCGCCTGCATCCTGCAACCCTTCATTGACTGTTGAAATATGGAATTCTGGCCTATCAGTTCCTGTATCTAGCAATGCAATTGTATTATGATATGGACAGACTATGAATACTATTGTGACACACGATGTATGATCACCACAATGCAAGCACAAATGAGAAGCAAAAATAGGGAAGACAGAATTACTCTTAATAGGTGTGGCAAGGGAACGGAAAGTCAGAAAACAGGCATCATGTTTTCCGGAGTTGAGCCTACAGGCATCCTATATGTGGGGTACCTGCATAATACGACGTGCCATCCCATTCAATTTGCAGGAGATAAATTAAAAGTTCAGTACTGCACAATTTCTGCTTTGTTTGACAATAAAAGCTTTCCAGGCAATAGAAATCCAGCTTGCAAGAGTCAGGTCACAGCTTCTATATGTTTTCAGTTCAGGAAAGCAAGATGCAAGGATAGAAATCTGCTCGATTCAAGAAAATGCAAGGATTTTATATCGACAGAACAGGAATAAAAGATCTATGTACAATGCTCTAGGAGATAAGAGGACTTGCCTTGTCAGCTAATGGTTCACGGCAAAATGGAAGATCCTGCTCCAAGTGCTCAAATATAAGACGACCAGGAGGGCTGCTAATATCACCCTCGTCCACTGACAATCCTGCGAAAGGCTTGTTTCTTACTGGAAGTCTGTTATATCCTTGGCCTGTGGTGTTCTTCTGGTTCCAAATTCCCCTAGTATTATTGGTGTTCTGCTGGTTCCAAATTCCCCTAGTATTATTGGTGTTCTCTATCAGCTTCACATCCGCTGCTGTCATCAGTATCCGTCTCCTGGGATGAATCAGTATCGCTCTCCTCTCCAGGTTTCCTGCCACGATGTTAAGCCCATAAAAAAGTAAAAGAATTAAAGCTGTTCATGAACACATGCGCGATCGTAATATATATATATCTCATTAAGTTGATAAACATGGCTTGTGTTATCCCTCAAATTCTCTAGTATTATCATAATTTACACAGCAAGGTACCATTAAACATTCTGCAAAGGCACTACAAGCTAACTATGAAGAAATGAATCATGTTACATGTACAATATTGATTGACAACATCCTATTTGGCATCATCATATCCATCCATTTTAAGAAACTTTTCTACATCACATACTATGATTTTAACAACACATGGTTGTCAACTATTGTTGTCAACCAATGTTGTACATTTAGATTTATTCATGAAGAAATACAATACATTTCAAGGCACACAAGTATCAAGAAAAGCTCACCTTATCTCCATCAATGAGCTTGACGAATCTACATACAGTTGCATAGCAGACAAGTATGGCACATATGGACAACAGAATCATTCCCATTCAGAACCAGATGGACTTCGGCTCCGTATACACTCCACTCCCAGAAAGAGTCCCAAAGATCACCAAGTATGAAGTATGGTTGGAGCTCACTATCACTATTTCTCCATCCCCTCACACTTGTCTGCAGATCTCCAGAATGTACAGAGTTAAATCATATAGGACAGGTATAAAATCATAGAATAAACATCAATTTCCTGCCGCAATGTCTTAAATCAATAAACTTCGCCAAAAGTAAGTCAAATCAAGTATGACTGCCATTATACTCATTCCTCTCCGACAAGCACTGAACAAAGGCAGCGGCGGCGGGAGCAAGAAAACGTAACGAAACAAGATCAAAATGCTTCCCCACCGAATCCATAAAGGAAAAGAGGGAAAAAACAACAAAAGAAGACAGAGGACAAGGGAACGAGAGAAAAACCCATCATTTGCAGATTAAGGAAGTAAAAAGAATACACGAACTACTATTTTAAATTTGAAAAGAGTTCATTTTTCTATGTTAGACATTTAAGAAGCTTTAAATAGTCCAAGGTGACAGTATGAATTCAGATCGATTTATGAATTAGAAAACTACTCCACTTATTATCATATTGTTCTTGGTTTCTGGTTAGAATCTCTTATGAATTCAGCCTTTTTGACGTATAATAATTAATAACAGATTCTTTTCTTTTACGTAAATGTTTTATTGGCCGTGCCCTACATAGGAGAATCTTGTAATGTTAATGACAGAATAATCGATGAACATATGGAATAATCACTGACAATTATTCAGGATGCTGCCAAACCTAGTGTATGAATTATACACATCTTCTTATGCGAGTGTTTGAGTGGGACTTGTTGCAGGCTTTAGAACCCAATACAATTAGCGAAAACAACATCATGCAATACTCACTAACAAGAAAAAAAAAACGTCTTAAAAGGTGCAGTCGGTTCATTGGTTACCTCAACTAGTATCAAGAAGTTAACTATTCAATTCTGCTAGGAAGTAGCCCTTCCATAGCCAAAAAGTACGCAATAAAAACCTGAAGAAACTCTCATTTACGCCCCTATTGTTTGCCTTTTTTGCACAAATCTTCTCTATTGTTTGCCTTCCTGCAAAATCGTCCATATCGTTTTAATTTTGACATTTGAGCACTCAGATCGACCTTGTTTATGCAAAAGGTCTTTACCGTCTATTTCTCCATTAAAACATTGTAAAATGATTAATTTACCCTCATATTTAAATAATCAAATAGAAAAAAAAATAATATAAAATTTGCATCTAGAATTTCATTTTTTTAAAAAAGTACAAACGAGTTTCACACAAAATAATTTAAAACATTCTAACGAAAGTAAAATATTTTGTCTACCAAATTAACCCACCTACCCCTACCCCTACCCCTAACCCTACGCCCATCCCCTATCATCCTCTACCACCATCAAAATAATTAAAAGTATATAAAAAAGAATTAAAAATAGAAAAGAAAAAAATAGTGCTTCTTCCTAACTAAGCCCTTGTTTGGGCTCAATTATAAATGTATTTTTGAATAGTAATATTTTGAAGATGATCTTGCTACATCTACATCAAGATTTAAATAATGAATTATATAATGCCACGTGACACTCTATCATTTGTCAGTTTAAAACACAATTAACCTTTTCATCCAATCTTTTTCCTCCACATCATATTATATAATCCATTATATACATTTTTTTTATATATACAAGTAGCAAATTCTTTTTTAAGAATGTGTGATTAAAAAATAGGGACAAATTTTGGATTTACATGTAATATTATTTTATTGAAAAATATGTGGTTGAAAACAAAAAAGAGAAAAATATATTTTTGGAAAATGGAGCCCAAATAGGATGTAAATTTCGCACCCTACGATCGACCGCCACCACCCCCATTCTCCCATCCCACTATGGCACTCTCCAAGAATTTAGCTATTTTTCTGTAATCAAGTTTCGTATGTCAATATCTATTTTATTTTCAGCAAAATTATAAGAATTTTTTAGGGAATTTAGCTATTTTCAACAAATTCTTGTTTGTATCTTGTTGCTGGTTACACACATGTATATGTTTATGCTCACTGTGTTGGCTTCCAAATTTTGTTAAAGAATAGATAAATTCCTAGATATGAGGTAAAGGAAATTGAATGAGAAAGAAGCACCATTTTTTTTCCTTGCTTTTTTATGCTTTTAATTTCCCTTTTAATTATTTTGGCTGTGGTGGTGGAGGGTAGGGGATGGGTGGAGGGGTATGTAGGTTAATTGGGGAGATAAAATATTATTCTCTTGTTCAAATATTTTAAATTATTTTACTTGAGACTCTTTTGTACCTTTTAAAAAACTTGAAACTCTTGGATGCAATTTTTTTTATATTATTTCTTCTTTTTTGTTTGTTTGTTTATTTAAAGAGTAAGATATATTAATTATTTTACAATGTTTTAATGGAAAAAATAGACGGTTAAAACCTTGTACGCAAAGAAATATTGATCAAATGTCAAAATTGAATCGATAGGGACCTTTTGCGCAAAATTCCCATCTTTCATGGAAGAAATTAACGAAACATAACGAAAATGACCAACTTTGCAAGACAGGTTTGATATGAGGATGTAAATGCCAAGATTGAAACGATATGGACTATTTCCACAACAAATGCAAACGATAGGGATGTTTTTGCTAATTACCCCATAAAAAATCCACTTAACAAACTTTATAGAGAGCATAATTTTTTTTCTTACTGTTAATAAATAAAAAATTTAAATTTTTTGCCAGGCCGAACATGCTTTAACACCCAAAAGTAAGCATTGCTTGGGAGTTTTTTTCCGCTGATTTTGATCGATTTGGATGACACCATTTATGAGGAGTTTAAAAAACTGACGCTTGCTATTTTTCTTGAGTATCGATTATGGATAGTTTAAAAATCATTCAAAATTGGTTTAGTGTAATTTTGATCGTTTCTTATAATCACTTCTAATTTTACCCTCTATAAAATAAGTATTTCGAACCAACATATTTTGTTAAAAACTAACTTATAAATAAAAACACATTAACTAAAAAAATTATTTATAAACAATTTTTTTCATAAGTAAAAAATTACTTATAAAATTAAAATCATTTTTGTGTAAAAATTTGTTTATAAAATGAAAATACTATTAATAAACTAAAAATTCACTTATAAAATATAAAAAATTCGTTTATGTTTAAAAATTAGTTAAAAGTACAAATTAACTTACAATTGTAAATTTTCTTATAAGGAAAACATGAACTTAAAATTTGAAGTAAATATTTAACTTTTTAAGCTAAATTTTAGCTCATATGTAAAAAAAAAAAAATTGCTTAATAAGAAACTATAAATTAAATTGAAAAATTCACTATATATATAATTTTATCCTTAGAAATTTTTTTAGAACTGATGCATAATAAACTCTTAAGCATGAATTGAATTGTTTTAAAAATCACAATTAAAATCACTCAAAACGTCTCATAAATGCTCAAAACGAGTACTTCAAGCAGGCCTAATAAGCAGTCATTTTACATTTTCTATTCATTTTCGATTAATGCCCACATTGTATAAGGGGAAAATATTTCATCTTTAATTTCTTTCCTCCTGATAAATCAATAACTACCAAAAAAAGAAAAAAAAATACAAATTAGAAAAAAAATCAGAAAAAAGATTGAATTTCTCATTTTTCCTAAAATATTTTAATTAATTAAACTTGCACATTTTATCTTAGGGTCCGTTTGATTGTAAGGGTGGAAAATGAGTGGAAATAAAATGAATTTTAGGAAAAGTAATTGCCTATAAATTGTTTTACAGAGAATTGTTAATTAAGTGTGTTTGATTGGTATAATTTTTCACCCGAAAAATTTTAAATTTTTTTTGTTCGTTTGGCTTTGTTTTATACTGAAATTGTCTATTGAAACTATAAAATTTAGAT